TGTTAATCTTGGGGCAAGATAGCTGGATGGTTTGCGCCGAACGTACCACAAGCATGGAAATCATTTTGGGCGCGGATAGTTCTACTAGGTGATGTGGGTCAAGTGGAAGCTCATTTGGGTTTGTATGGAGACAGTGTTAGTGTCGGTGTAAGATAGTTGCACGGTTTGCGCCGAATATACCATAGGCTCAGAAATTATTTTGGGAGCACCCGATAGTACTCCTAGGTGACATGGGTTAAGTGGAAGCTCATTTTGATCCGTTTAGGGACAATGTTAGTATCGGTGCAAGATAGTTGCACGGTTTGCTCCGAAAGTACTATAGGCTCAGAAATGGTTTTGGACGCACCCGACGGTACTCGTAGGTGACGTGGGTCAGGTGAACATCGTTTTGGTCGATGTTAATCTTAGCGCAAGATAGGTGCATAGTTTACGCTGAACATACCATGAGCACAAAAATCTTTTGGGGCACACCCGATGGTACTCCTAATTGAAGTGGGTCCAATGGAAGCTAATTTTGGTCTGTTTGGAGACAGTGTTAGTATCGGTGCAAGATAGGTGCACGGTTTGTGCCGAACATATCATAGGCTCGAAAATCATTTTGGACGCACTGGACGATACTCCTACGTGATGTGGGTCAAGTGGAAGCTCGTTTTGGTCCATGTTAATCTCGGTGCAAGATAGGTGCACGGTTTGCGCCGAACATACCACATGCATGAAAATCATTTTGGGCGCAACCGATGGTACTCCTAGGTGACGTGGGTGTTGACTGTAGTTAACAACCATTATAAACCATCAATATAATATGCATAAGGGCATAAACATAATCACCAACGAAGGTCTAGGGGTTTAAACTAATAAATTCCATGAGTTTTGTTGAATCTGTATTTTCTGTAGGGTTTATTCAGAAAACCATCAAGGTGGACCTACATGTCAGATTTAATCACGCTTATCCACAGCGAAATGGACACCACAAGACTCTAGAAGACTCGAGAGGACTCTGCGCCGAGGTAGAGGTAGAGGCTGTCAGGTGGGCCCCACCTGCAGGCCGGCTAGCCCCTGGGGCCCACTGTCAATCTCCATGTTGTAATGTCGGTTCTCCACCGCCTCCTAGGTTGCATCTACGTCGTCCTTTAAGTCGGTTTGATCCAAGGGCTCATGTTGGACGCCCGGCCTATATATACCAGACCCTGCCACCCTCAGGCATAACCCCAGTCATCAAGTCATTTGAGAAGACAAAAACCCTAATCATCCTTAGAGGTCCATCATATTCTAGGGCATAGCTAGTTAGGCTAGGTTAAAAGGAAGAAAGCAGGCTTCGCTTGGATTTCCGATCATGTCAAGAGCGTGGTTTGATATAATCTTTGTACCCCCTCTCTTTTGTATCTCCATTACTTTCATATGCTAGCAACAATTGTTATGACAATATTAATATTCATGTTCTTTGTTATAATGTTCATGGTCTACTTTGATTATATGCTTAGTATAGTTGGATTATTATCATATTTATGCATAAGTTCGTATAGCGCTCACTCTAAGGATCCATGGGTGGGTGGTCGAATTGTGTAAGCGTGGTGCTTATACGTTGTTTATTTATGGATACACCCTATATTCTGGGTCATGTGGTAGTTTGCGGATGTGACACTCTCGTTGAATCCTTTGTAGTCCACTCCTCGAATATAGGTGCACGTAGGGTCTGGTTACTGAAGGAAGAACAAGCTTTGTTCTTAATCTTCCTTAGTAATATCCCTTATGTATAGATATGACTATAATCTTATTAATGATTACTAGGTATAATTGCACTAATCAATGTATGCTTTGACTTGTAATTAAGAATGACTTAGGAATTATTCCTCCAATATTCTACCTGACCATGCTAATGCCATAGAAAAGAGTACTCTAAGTGATTTATTATTATTATTAATCAATACTTATTAGAGATCTTATCCTATGACTTACCCCTATTATGAGTAGAACATTGGTTATGGTTTATTTCTCCATCAATAGTATAAGTTATCAATACATGTCCGTGCCAGACCTTCTCTGTGGTAAAAATATAAATAACGATACCTAGAATACTCTCGGGTGAAGTGCTACAATGGTATATTATCTGTACGCTTGTAGATTTCTTTCATATATATATATATATATATATATATATATATATATATATATATATATATATATATATATATATATATATATATATATATATATATATTCATATCTATTCTTCCTAGTCACATAAATTAATAAAGAACTGCTTAGTATTATTCTAGTAGTAATGCTATGTAGTACCAACAAGCATCTCTAGCATCATCACTAGAGATGACAACCTAGTAAAGTAATGTTAGAAGATATAAGTTTATAATATGTGGCTATTAAAACAAGTGACAAGTTAATAAATACCAACAATGGGTCAAGTGGAATCTCGTTTTAGTCCATTTAGATATAATGTTAGTGTATATGCAAAATAGGTGCACAGTTTACGTCGAACGTAACATAAGCTCATAAACTAATATTTGGTCGCGCAAGATAGATGCTTGGTTTGTGTCGAACGTACCACATGCATCGAAATTATTTTGGGCACACCTGATGGTACTCCTAGGTAATATAGGTCAAGTGGAAGCTCATTTTGGTCTGTTTGGAGACAGTGTTAGTGTCGACGTAAGATAGGTGCACGGTTTGTGCCGAACGTACCATAAGCTCGGAAATTGTTTTTGATGCACCTGACGGGACATGCATATGCATTGCATTTGCACTCTTTGAAGTTTATTTGTATTGAAGTTTTATATTGACATAGAGTGGATATGCGGGGTATTGTTTGTATTCATAAGAGGAGTATTGTTTCATTTATAATATGAGACTATTGTCTTATTCATATGTGGAGGTTCTTCATTTATTTTATATCATGTCCTTAACTTCTTATGGAAATTTTATTGGATTAATAATCGTATCATGAACCTTTTATTGATTATAATGACACGTATTCTTCTATGATTAAATTGATGTCTAATTAACAAGCAATTTGCTTGCTGAGATTTATTCTCACTCCATTATCTTTTTCAGGTGCTTGATTCGAATGATTCGCTTGAAGGGAGGGCATTAGTGGCACATCTTCACTGTTTCAACCACTTTTAGAGATAATAATGATGTTTTTGGCTTGCTGTAATAAACTTAGTTTATTAGTCATGAGATCCTTCGTGGTTTAAAAAAACATAGCGATGAAAATTATCTTAATCATAGTTTTGTTCTTGTCGTTGCTTCTGCGTTTTACTTTGATGAAGGGGTTTTGATGTCGAGGTTTCACGCTCTGGCAATTGGGAAGGGATGTTAGTTACATCTTGGGCTTTTGTGGCGCCTAGGGTGTTACATTACCACAAAACAAATACCCTTGAGGGTCATAAACCTTCAAGGAAACCATAAAACCACCACAGAAACTATTCTTGGCTTCAACACTCAAGGAAGGACCGCCAACGATAGAGAACAAGGGAAATAGCTATTACCATAGGGGTCGACCACCACAAATAATTTCCTTGAACTTTTAGCCGATAAGGAAACAAAGATGAAGTCAAATTTTTAACGACATTACTAACATAACGTAAGGGTCAATTTTTTTAACAGTGTCAAGGGAATATAATTTTCTTGAGTGCCGATGACCCCAAGGTATATCTAACAACTGCCAAGAATTTTTTTTTAGGGCCAATGCCCTCAAGGATATATGTCGCCGACCCAAGGATGTATATAACAAAAAGAAGAAATAAACACACATTTTCCCAAGCTAGGAATCAAACCTGTGACTTAAGATTTTAGGTGAACTTTACTTACCACTACATCAAACGGTCCTTTGTGATTTAGTGGATGTTTCTTTCTTATTTGAGACTAAACAATGTCAAATGAAAAAGCTTTAAATTGAAAAGTTTTATATCTCGTCGAGTACTACAACTTTGGTTTGGGTTGTATCTCCGTCTAAGGTCATTTGGAAAATTTTAAAAATAAATCGAAACTCTGAGAACTTAAAACAAAAAAAAAATTACACCTAATTTTAAATGAAAAAGTTATCAACTATGAATTTGTATATGTCTTCACGCTCTACAACTTTGATTTAGATTGTATCTTCAGCCGAAGTCGTTTGGAAAGTTAAAAAATGACTCTTAAGAACATAAAAACATGATTTTTCCTTGCTATCGTACAGCAATTTACTTGACACACTCAAGGAAACTAGCACTTCCTTGGCGGTTTCAAATATACTCAAGAAAATGTACAATTTCACATAAGAAAATCTGAATTACCTTAGCAATTTGTGATAACACTTAAGAAAATGTGCAATTACCCTGACGATTGAGACTAAGCACTCACCAAAAAGTGCAATTACCTTGGCGGTTCAAACTAGCACAACGAAACATGCAATTACCTTGACAATTTGGCTTAGCACTCAAGAAATATACATTTCATTGAAATTTTTCTACAAATCGCCAATGTAATGGTATATTCCCCGAGGGTTCAATCTCGTCCCTCAAAGAAATTAGTCACCCTCAAGAGTTCCATTTTGTGGTAGTGCTTCAGCGGCTTTATTTACCTAAGAATTTGTCAGTGATCATTTAGCTAATTCTGGTGCTAATGTTTTTCAGGTTTTTTTGGGTGAAACATAAAGTTCTTTCTTAACAAACTATAAGATAAATTATCAATACATATCAAAGAGATCAAAATAGATCCACCGAGATAGATAATGAAATGAGTTGACTACAACAATCAACCAACGAGAATGATGATCTTATTTTTGTCACAACGAATTGAACATTGAACACACGTACTTTCGAATGACAAGATTAAACTGGTATTTTCTTCAAAAAAGATTAACATGTGTGTATAATGCTACATACATTTACATATATGTTGCATTCTCTTGAAACAGATATGCTCAACGAACACCTAACCCCTGACTTGAATTTATTGAGAAGTAGGAGTCCTACGTTGCCACTTCAGCTATGACCTGAGCAAGATCAAGGACAACCTGAGGAATTATGTCCAGATCTCAAGCTTAAGGCATCAGTTTTTTTTTTGATCTCTTAAGGCATCAGTTTTACTGAATCAATTCACAAGCATGTTTGACACCCTGAGGAAGCTCCTTCAGTGTCCATTTATCTACTCGGAGATGCAACTGAACAAAGTTCAGTTTCTTTGTTATGATGTTTCCTAATGTCAATTTTTCTATACAAACTACCAGAACATTTAACGTTGTTCTGAACACACGATATACCTAAAAATGGGGGAGGCATTTTACAAAGGACATAAATTTTCGCATCATTGAGGACAAAGGTGGATGCAAACAAATTTACATAATCCTGTATAAATATTACACATTTAAAAGATTAAATCAATCAAACACTTTATTCAGTCTCAGCAAAGACATCAATGCACTGCAATGTACATTATTTTAGTAGACTCCTGTCGAAGGAAGAAGTCGAAGGTACCTCCAAAAATAATAAGATAATTCTTGATCCTCGGTTTGAAGTCATCAAGTATCCAAGTCAGACACCTCAAGAACAGTACTATCACAGGGGATAGCCGTGTCCAGCCCCAAGTCTATATGCAAACTCTAGCAGCAATTTTGGAACGGTAACATATTGAGTAGGGGTCAATGCAAATTTAGCAGGCATATATAGAATAGAAAAACCATAGAGCTGAAGACATACCTGGGTAAATGAACCAAAAGCTGAAGACAATGCAAGATATATCTGAAGACATTTTGCATTGGGATGGCATGGATTACATCTTTCTTCGCAACACTTTTAACACATTTTATTAACTTGAGATAACTTTCACAATGAAACTTTGATGTATACATACATTTTCCGAAAAAATACATTGGTCAACCGTATACATGTTAGCAAAGAAGAATTATAACTACAAAGCCTATTTGCATTTTGTCCTACATAAGCGGAGGGTAGGGTAGGATTAAGTTAGCTTCGTTGTGGACCTCAAAGGAAAGAAAAAGTATTCTATTTGTACATTACTACATTACATGGAAAAAATTGCAGAATGGGTGCCCTAGTCAGGCTTTGTGTATTCAAGCAGCATATGTGCTGATCTACCAATGTCCAATACAAAACTTCTTCCACTTCTAACTCGCCTTCAGCTCTTGCTGCATATATTCCTTCACAGATGTCAAGTAGCCTACAAAAGGCAGGTATATCATTTTTACTCCTAGCAAATATTGACAATAAAATGCATTCCAAAAATGTTTCAGTTTGTTTGTACTGTCACTATTTGAATTTTTGTTGCAGCTTGCTCAGTTTGTTTGCAAAGGAAACAAAGTATAAAAATGGAATCTGATAAAGATAGGTATTGAACTTTATCATTCTGATGCATAAAGATGCACAAGAAAACGGTGACAGAAAATTAGCGCTCTCATATCAGTGCATATGCCTGTGAAAACTTTTTTTAATTAGAACAGGTTTAGGAAAAGTTCCCTCATACCACCACTATGAGCTAATGTATGCTTGCTGCAAGGTCTGAGCAGATGTTATCTGTTGTCGCATCCAAGATGATAACTGTGCAGCAATACATGGCAGCACCAAAGATTAGTTAAATACAGAAATGGCGGGAATGGACACATGGAAGTTATGGAGGCAAAGCTTGTCATTGTGGACCATGCCATGATTTGCCACCACATTTGTTCAGTCGTGGCAGCCAACTTCATGCTCCATTGATCTCTCCCAAAGATTGCCTCAAGCACAACCACCTTATTAGAACACCGCTGAGTAGTGCCCAACAGTAGTGGCAACAAGAAGCAAAAGTTTTACACATGATTTTGCCAGAATGCAAGTGGGAAATGAAGGATTGAGAAACCAAATGACCAATTGGAGAATTAAATTAAATGATATCTATATCCATGAGGTTAGACCTCATGATAGAAATCCTCCAAAATTCCTATAAAACAAGCAACTCCAAACAAATTTCATAAGAATTCAAGTCCAATCCTCTGTTTGAAACGGTTTTATAGGAAACTTCCCTACGAAACGAATTTCATAAGAATTGAAGTTCAATCCTTTGTTTGCAAAAAGTGGATAAGGAATAGGACAAGGATAAAGAAAGATGCAGGGACGGTTGTACATTTCTTATTTGTTTGCTGACCCAAATATTAGCATATTAAACGGGAATTTTGGAAGCAGTTGCACAGGATGAATTAAGAAAATAAATGATAACAATTACAGATAATTATTTCCCAAAGACATAAGACCAAATGCCCCCACAAAATATTCAGAATACTTGGTTCAATTTTGTCCCTTTCTCCACTCTTGTTTAGTAGGTCCTCAAAGAGTTCTTATCTCCAAAAAAAAAGTAGAACATTCTCACATATATCTGATATACCTGTCACAAGATGGAAGGTTCTCATATGGTATTCTCATTCTCAAGTCTGAGCACTGCAGCCTAATAAATCTGGCAACAGCTAGAACAAAAGTACTGTATAAACTCCATATGCTAAATTTACTGAGTGTTTCACCAATAATGCCCTCTGGACAGAAGAAAAGGAGATATATAAATTGTCAGACTAAGTTTGAGGCAACACCAGAGATGAGTACAGGCTAAACATTACTACATAACTGTGGTTGTTAAACAATCAGCATCTTCATACAATGTAAAATTATAATTTTTTTTATCAGCTTTTAAAGATCATGCTACGGTTGGAAGGAAGTCAGGACAAGGATAGATACATACGAGGTGTCTCCTCAGAAACAACTATGGCCATGGGACCATTCAGCCCTTGACAGCCTGCCAAATCTGACGGGTTTGTATCATAGAATGACCACCAAGGAGGAGTGCCATTATTTAATAGCAATTCACCACTTACTGAATCTATCTGCAGTTATGGATATAATAAAACAACTTAGCTTCTGTTAGGGAAATGAAATGACACGCAGCTCTCCTGTGTAGTTGGAGAAAAGGGAAAGCTAACAAAAACTGTAAGTCCAGAACTTCACAACATACCACTGCTTCTAATCGCCGGACTTCACCTGATCCAGTAACTCGAAAATACCTTGGGTAAGCATCAATTATACTGAAGCTGTTTGCAGTTCCATTAAGCACTTGTTTAACATCATCTACACTCGGGCAGTGTTCAATAGGGGATTCATATCACACTAATTCCTTCCCTTTTGGTCTAGTTCTGAGACAATCCCAATTTAAAATAAGTTCCATCTTTCCAAAAAGCATCTCTCTCTCCTCAAGGGATTGGATAAATCTGCTTTGGACTGGAGGAGGTATCAACCACATTGTTGATGCATCAGGCTGGCAGCAAATGAGCTGAATGTCATCCACATTGTATGCACCAAGGTAATCTAGAGGATCAACATCATCATAGGACTTCAAGTACTTCCAAGGTATTTTTTCACAAGCAGTAGTCTTAAACAAGGTTAATCTCCCACCAAGTGCCTTTATATCAATCTTAACACTTACATCAACAATGGGGTTGGCAATATTTGTAGGGTTACCACTACTATAAATCTGAAATTTTGGAAGAGAAAGGAGTGTCTTAAGACATTGCAAGAGCGCATAGCACTAGATATACGATAATTGAGTTGTGCTAACCATTTGACTGAAAGAAAAGGGGAACAACATTAATGTTGGAAAATAGACTTTGGCTATTAGCAAAATAAGTTTGCACAATTGAATCATATATGGTAGAGAGAGGATGTTACAGAGGTATAGCCAGATAGCCTGTTTTCTGTATTTAGCAGAAAGTAAGTCATTTGTACTCAAGGGAAAGTAGATTTGATGAAGAAAATGGGGACAATCCTCTATGGTTTATTGAAATCACAAATGTAAAAAGTATCATGTTTACGCAACTGTAAAAAAAAAAAGGTAAGCACTTTGGAAAGGACAATGTAATTATTCTGGAAGATTATAGTCGCATACCAACATAGGAGCCCAAATAACACAAATAAGTACAAAGAATAAGCATATCCCACTGCAGAACTTTGTCATTTTTGTTTGTTTTTCTCCTTGACGATGATTCGCTCTATTCAAAATTGCATCACACTTCACAAGAAACAAGCTTGCATTTATGTCCTCCAACTGTCCAGATCAGTAGAAGTATCATGTTGCAACATTTTATGCAGAATTGAGAACAATACTGTAAAGGACAAACAAATAAATACATTGACTACGATAACAAAAAGTGAACGTAATTGCAGCTAGTGATTAAATACAGATACCTTATAATATGTCATCGAATTTGTCCTCAAATATTTTTTTTTCTTGAACATGCAAGAGAGTTGTGTATCATTATATTAAAGAAGAAAGGGTAAAGAATCCCGATTACACCCACACCCACACCCCCATAGGTTCACAAATTACAAATACGCCTTTTTCATACAAGAACAAACAACCTGGAACGATCTAGTCACTAGGGATAAGGGCCGACAATAAGGAGGTCCCTTTCGCACCAGCCATCAGCCAAAGCTAAGCCTCATCAGCAAGTAACATGGCCCTGACTATATTGGCAGCGATACCATCAAAAGGCACATTGATCGTCTTGCTATGCGCGGGCTTCCTCATCCAGCAGCATGTCCGCTTTGTGAGCAGGCGGAGGAAAAGTGGTCACCCTTGTCAACAGCATTCCAGAGCCGTCGGGCTCTGAGCTTGACCTTTATGGTCACCGACCACTCTCCATAGTTAGTGCGAGTCAGCATCGGCCAAGTGGTGCCGCTGACCTCCCGCACCGTGCGAACAACTACATCCGGTAGTGGCTGGGCAGCCACGACAGTGCCACTGCCGTCGCCCAACTCCGAACCGCCTGTCATCGCCATCGGTTAGAATGACGACGGCGCTTGTACGGCTCCGATACCACTTGTTGGCCCACAGTTAGCCTCCCGACCACTATAGTTAGCCTCCCGACCACTACAGATAGCCTCCAGACCACCGAGATGGCCTCCATACCACTCCGTTGGTCTCATAGGATCACCGGCTCACGACAGTGAACCACTCTAGCCGATCTTGCCGAGCACCGGCTCAGGCGAGTGGAGCACTTGACGGTCTGGCCGAGCACGTGCTAGTGTTGCCGAGCACCCACTAGCCGTGCAGACCACGTACCGGCGTTGTCCGTACCCACACACAAAGGACGGAGTTGGGAGAAGAAGGGAGAACAGAGCAAGCACGCACAATACAAGACAACAGCGTTGGCCGAGGCCCTGTCTGTGTGATGGCAAATCTGAGCTCTCTTTACTGAGTTGCCATACATGTCTATTTATACAACTCTAACTATCTAGTCCATGTGCAGCGCCCATGCTGGCACAGTAACTAGATAACCTGACAGGGCTGACTCTGCGCCGGCCACTGCCTGTTCCTACAGTGCTGCAGGTGAGCCGTGCGGTGCCTGCACCTGCAGTGGCTACAGTATCACAGCAGGGGGCAAAGTCGGCGCCGCCTTCCCTTGCTGTGTTCACACACAGCAGGCGGCTAAGTCGGCGCCGCCTTCCTCTACTGTGTTCATACAAGGTGGCAGTAGATTAGCTAACAGTGGAGACGCTGGGGAAGAGGTGCCGAGCACTCCAGCGGCAGAGCCGAGCACTCCTGGAGCAGTACCGAGCACTTCAGGAGGGATGCCGAGCACTCCAGGAGGAGTGCCGAGCACTCCTGGAGGTATGCTAGGAGGTTCTGCAGTGGTGGCGACCACTCCGGGACGGGTGCCGAGCACTCCCGTAGCGGAGCCAAGAGGTCTTGCAGTGGTGTCAACCACTCCAAGACTGAGGCTGAGCCTCCTACAGTGGTGCCGAGCACTGCAGGAGTTATGACGAGTTGTCCAGAAGTAGTGCCGAGCACTGCAACCAGGGTGCCGAGCACTCCAGGTGTTGTGCCGAGCACTCCGGCAGAATAGGGAAGTCCATTGACGCCGATCGAGTTCGCCTCGCCTCCAAGTGACATCATTGAGTTCGTGGATGCCTTCCACGAAGGTGAGAAGGTGCGGTTCCGTAGGCTGGATGACATCGTCGGCGGCACAGGGCACTCAGGACTAGCGGGTAGACTGCTCAGTGACCCAGAGCTACTGCTCGTCAGTGCAGAGGAATCACTCACGTTCGCGCTGGCCGAGCGCGATACACACTGGCGATGGGCGATGCTGGAGAAGATGAAGGCGATCAAGGAAAACGAGACTTGGGAGCTCGTCGATCCACCTCTAGGATGCCGTCCGATCAGCCTGAAGTGGGTGTACAAGGTCAAACGGGATGAGCTCGGTGCTATTATCAAGCATAAGGCGCGCCTCGTCGCCCGAGGCTTTGTTCAGCGCGAGGGCATCGACTTCGAGGAAGTCTTTGCGCCAGTTGCGCGCATGGAGTCTGTCCATTTGTTACTAGCTTTGGCAGGAGCAAAGGACAGGTGCGTCCATCACTTGGACGTTAAATCGGCCTTCCTCAATGGCGAACTGGCGGAGATGGTCTTCGTCATGCAACCTCTAGGTTTTGCCATCAAGGGAGAGGAGCACAGGGTGCTGCGACTGCGCAAAGCGCTCTACGGGCTGCGGCAGGCCCCACAAGCGTAGAACGCCAAGCTTGACGCCACGCTCGGCGAGCTTAGGTTCACGAGGTGCGCAACCGAGCACGCACTATACACGCGGCGACGAGGGAAGGAGGAGCTCATTGTCGGAGTGTATGTGGACGACTTGATCATCACCAGTGCGCTTGCGGAGGACATCAACAGCTTCAAGCGCGAGATGGCGTCTCGTTTTCGAATGAGCGATCTCGGCGCACTCTCCTACTACCTCGGCATCGAGGTAAGACAGGGGAAAGATGAATTCACGCTCGGTCAGAGCGCGTATGCCTCGAAGCTGTTGGAGCGAAGCGGCATGGCTGAGTGCAAGCCATGCGTGACTCCGATAGAGGAGCAACTGAAGCTGACGAAGGCTAGCACCGCAGCAAAGGTGGATGCAACACTCTACCGGAGCATCGTCGGCGGTGTGCGCTACCTAGTCCACACGAGGCCGGACATTGCGTTCGTCGTGGGCTACGTCAGTCGCTTCATGGAGGATCCCAGAAAGGATCACTAGGCTGCGGTGAAGCGGCTACTGCGCTACGTCAAATGGACGGTGGATCAGGGGATCATCTTCCCCAAGACTGGCAGGAGTAGACTGTAGCTCACTGTGTTCAGCGATGCAGACATGGCGGGGGACATCGACGGACGACGGAGCACCTCTGGTGTGCTCGTCTTCCTCGGGTCGGCTCCAATTTCATGGCTATCACTGAAATAGAAGGTGGTGGCACTGTCTACGTGCGAGGCAGAGTACGTAGTGGCGACCACAGCGGCGTGCCAAGTTGTGTGGCTACGCCGACTGCTGGGCGAGCTAACCAGTGCGGAAGCTCACCCACCAGCACTGATGGTGGAGAACCAGCCCGCCATCGCCCTCGCGAAGATTCCATTTCTGCATGACCGGAGCAAACACATCGACGTGAAGTTCCACTTCCTCAGGGACTGTGTCGATGGAGGGCAGATCGTCATCGAGTTCGTCGAAACTGGTCGGCAACTCGCGGACGTCCTCACCAAGCCGCTCGGACGTCTTCGCCTTACGGAGCTTAAGGAGATGATCGGCATGGAGGGGGTAAGGGTTAGCAGTAGGATTAGGGGAAAAATTGTTAGCTAATCTACTGCTTCCTTGTGTGAACACACAGCAAGGGAAGACGGCGCCGAACTGGCCCCCTACTGTGGTACTGTAGCCGCTGCAGAGGCAGGCGCCGAATGGCTCACCTGCCGTGCTGTAGCCACATGCAGAGATAGGCGCAGAAGTCAGTCCTGCTGTGTTATCTAGTCACTGTAGCAGCATGACAGCTTTACTAGGAGTATATGGATGGAGTTGCATAAATAGTTTGCCACTGCAACTCAGTAAAGAGAGTTCAGATTTGCCATCTTCTATACAGGGCTTCGACCAACGCTGGTGTCTCTGCTGTGTGTGTATGCTCTGTTCTCCCTCTTCTTCTACCTTAGCCATAGTGTGTGTGGTCGGACAACGCTTGTTCGTGGTCGACATAGCTAGTGGGTGCTCGGCAACACTAGCGGATGCTCAACAAGACTGGTGAGTTGTCGACTCACCTGAGCCGGTGATCCTGGGGGCCAACAAAGTCTGCAACTGCATACCAATCTTCAGTCAAGGCTTATCCTGCAGCAAGGACAGTAGGTTTTTGACTGCAGTACAGCAACCCACCTTCACTGGTTCCAGTTCACACACAAACTGGACCTACCCCTCTATATATAAATATGCAACCATGGTAATGTAACATTCAGTTCAGCTGCATCACATATTCAGAGTTCAGTGTTGTGCTCGTGGTGTGTGTGCTCTCTGTTCTTAGACTTCTACCTAGCCGTGAGTGTGTGAGTGTGCGGGTGGTGGTGAGCTAATCGTGGTGAAGGTCAAGGGCCAACAAGTGGTGCCAGAGTCCCGTTGATCACCGGCGATGGCGCAAGAAGGCGATGGCAGTTCGGGCGGCAGCGGAGCCAGGTCTCCACCGTGGCAGTCCTGGTCACCAGAGCGCCAAGAAGTCGTCATGCAGAAGACCGTGCGGGAGGTTGGCGAGGCCGTAGAGACTATGGCGAGTGGGCGGTGCTGATGAAGGTGAAGCTACACGCACGGAAGCTGTGGAGCGCCATCGAGATCGGCACCAAGGACGAAGAAGAGGACTGCGCGGCGATGGAGGCAATCCTGTCCGCCATGGTTCAGAGTATGTGAAGTCGCTTGGGAGCAACGACTCCACGAAGCTTGCTTGGGACGCTGTACTGCCATCAGGAACATAAGCATCTCGCACAGGCAGATGACGACGAGCCGACTCTCCTGATGGTGTGTGCGCTGAACGATGCGGTCAAAGAGCCAAAGTCGAGGGTGGAGAAGAGCATCTCCATCGACGAGTCACGCGCCCAGGTTCACATTGGGAGTGAGGGCGGCGACGTGGAGCAGATGTGGTACCTAGACTCAAGGGCCAACAACCTCATGACCGGCGATAAGG